TCTGTACAATTATTTTTGTATGGAAAATTGAAATAACTACACAAAAACTGTATGATTTCAGTATACACCTGTACGAATTCAGTATGAAACATGTACAACTTTTTTTTCATAGGACGAAGCCAATCTGCTGATATATCCACCTTTGAGTTGTTAAAAAAAAATCTTAATGTGTAACCTTGTGCGGAAAAATAAATCAGAAATACAATTTTTTAGGTAGGTACAGAAAATGGAATGGCAATTATGCCGAAAACAGAAATAACCCACATCCGATTCGTAACGTAATCTCAAAAAATTTTTAATTCTCCTAATACAATTTCATAAATTCTTTACTTTCCTTTTTTAGATAATAAATAATCGAAACCTGATCAAAACCTGCATATGGCTGAAAAAATATTTGACTTTGATTCTCCGCATATCCACTAACCATTTTATCACTTCGAACTTTCTCAATGTAAGCAATGTACATTACATAAATGCATATATTTAATAATCGAACGAATACTATTTTCTCAAATAAATAATTTTAAATGTTGCAGATTTTCTCTAAATATTGTCCTTGCTAAATTCTAATGAAAAAATTCTTTCCTTCTATTTACTGATCGTTATGTAATAATTTGTGACTCAAAAGTGCAATGTCGAATTATTATTATACACGACACCTATCATTGACCTTAAAATGAATTGCAATATATGTGAATCTTTTTGCAGATCCAAACAAAACCGTTCGGATTTTAATTAAATATATTGAAGAAAACTGTTAAAGTATGATATATTTCAAGCTATTCTTCGTATGCAACATGCACTTTGACTTTGCATGGCAAAGTTGAATAATTCAATTTACTTTATAAACTTTTCACATGAAACGAAACATGATCTCATACCGCCGCGTATCGCCGAAGAAAAAAATGTGAACATAAAAACCCTACAGCACATCTTTGGAGATGATCGGCAATATTCGGTCATTTAATTAATCTTCGAGATGGATGAACAAACAATTTATTAACCTTTTATCCGTACCTTTGATGATAATCTTTATGAAATATAAACTTAATCGGCGTTGTCAGCATCGCTAAAAAACATAAATAAATAAATACATTTCTTTTTACTTCGATCGTGTTGTGAAACAAAAAACAACGGTACGGTATAAACAAAAAAAAAAAAAAAAAAAAAAAAAAAAAAAATTAAAAATTAATTAATTATCGTTAAATAGTTCAGAGAGATCTGCTTTTAATGTTACACATTCGAAGCCATCTTGAAAACCAAGCAAGTTTTTAGCACAGTTAAGAATTACACAATGCATTGTTTACTGAATTAAATAAACCACAGTAACCATCGAAATGTTTGATTATTAAGCTTGTCTCCCTTTAAAAAACAATTTGGAAGTACCAATTTATACTATGGGAAACTTATTTACTAGAGAGCGAATTAATAAACCATTAATGATGAGCAAAGCTGATGTGGATAGGGAAGAATTCAGTTATGTTGACGGCAGAAGGTTTCATAATATACAATCTTCAAAGTATCCTCTTCCAAATGATGATGAGGAATGCGATAGGTTACATATGCAACACTTTTTGATGAGATATGCCTGGCAAGGTAACTTTGCTTCTCCCATAAAACATATCTTGAATGGCGAAAATTCCAAAATTCTTGATGTTGGGTATGTATCATTGAGGAGCTTTGACGACATCGTTTTGGTTTTACTTCAAGACATTCACACCAAAAAAAAAAAAACTTTTCATTAAAAGATGTGGTGCTGGTTCCTGGTCATTTGAAATGGCATCAAATTATCCGAATTCTAATGTCACCGGCGTAGATATCTCTCCCGTTCAACCTTTAGAAGTTAAACCAAAAAACGTTACATTTATTCAAGCAAACATTCTTGATGGGTTAAAGTTTGCCGATGAAACTTTTGATTTTATCTTTCAACGTTTCTTGGTTGGCGGAATTCCAAAAGACAAATGGTCATCCGTCATTGAGGAACTAACCAGAATGTTAAAGCCTGGAGGTTATTTGGAGGTAAAAAAATATTATGTTGTGTATTCCTTCAAATATGTTATCCTGGATCTAACTAGCTATTCGCTCTTATTCAACAGCTGATGGAATTTAATGTATTATCTGAAAGTTTAGGTCCAAGTTCAACTATATACGGAAATGCTTGTACGAACTTTTCTTTTATTTTATTTTCTTTTTACATCAATGACTCTCGTTTTTTATTGACATAATGAATGTTTAGTGATCACTTTATGCGAGCAACGAAATCTTGAATCAAAAATGGTTCCAAAGTTAAAATATTATGTTGAGCAACAAGAACAATTTGAAGAAATTAAAGAAGAAGGCAAACTTATATGTGGGGGCAGAGAAGCCGGTAAACTTGGTCAAACGGTATGTACGGAAGGCTTTGAAACCTAACATGTTTCCTATTCTTTATTTCTGGAGTAATTGATTTTCTTTTGTTATAGATGAATGAAGATATCATGAGATTTTACGAAAATATGAAAATCGTGATGATGCCAATTTTACAAGTAACTAGCGAAGAGTATGATGAAATGATAAAAACCATAAAAGAAGAATGGTTTGAACGTAATAGTTATTCTCGTTTCGTTCGTGTTTATGCTAGAAAAATCAAAACTGACTGTTACTCGGATCGCGTATAATAAAAATTGTCCGGAACATTGTTGCTTTAAACATGTTTGTTAAATTTCTCATCACATTCTTAGAAGATCAAGAAATTATCTTGAGCTAATTATGATTTATTACGTTAAATAAGGTTTTCATAAACAAAAATCACAAACCCTACATTATATGTGCGCATTCTCAAAACTTTCCTCAATCATTCATATTTTCTCTCCTTCGCATAAACCGTGTATTAATTGTGAAGTCTTTATTTTGTTTTTGACCTTTTTTTTAAGAGAATTAATTTAATAACATTCTAAACTTTAATTTTCTTCTAAACAAAATAATATAAGTTGGCATTATTACTTTTTATTTTATTAGTTACCAAACATTATTTGTTAAAATATAAATATAGTATATCAAAAAGTAATATTCTACGACGACATATATTAGTGTTTGCTGGCTGGAACATCTAAATGGCTCGGCCTGGACATAAAATTATTATTTTTTAAAATTAAGCCAATGCAGTCCTCTACTCTAATACGATATCGATATTAAGAACGACTTTTTCAATTTCAAAGCAAAAAATACTCACTCGTCGTACCCAATGAAACTGTTTATGCATTACGCTAAGCCTTGGAAAAACTATTTACAAAAAATTAATTAGAGTTTCATTATTGCATATTGTACTAGATAAAATTAACATTGTACTTGTACTGTACTGTACTAACTGTACTAATCATTTTACTAGCACCGTACTCCCCAACTCTGCGTTAAGTATGCTATGCTGTTAAGTTTAAGGCTATTAAGAGCCATTTAATATAATAGAATATGTTATTGTTATTATCCTCAATTGACTTTTCAAATCTCAAGTACCTTTTTTAAAAAAAAAGTTTAACATTTGTTAAACCATATTTGTAATTGTTTATTTGAAATTAATTAAATAAATCTTGCTTTATATGAAAGCCACAAAATATTAAAAACTTTTTTCGCAAATCGAAATGTAGTAAGTTTATTATATTAATATGCTATTGTTACAATGGCTATTTAATCATTACGCATGTGATGTATTATTAGTATTAGTGACCCCCGCCCCGATCATTAATAAAGTTAGTGATAAACTGATCCGAGATTTGAAGATCAGCATAGGCTCAAATTGACCACTGGGCAAGTTGACCACGGGACGAATTGACCTCTGGCCAAAACGATCTCTAGTCAATTTGTCCTCTGGGCGAGTTGTCCCTTCAAAATTAATGTATAAAAAGGTGGGATTGATACTTGGGTTAAGAGAGATATGATATCTTTAATAATATAACAATTCCCCAATATAGCCGTAGTAATTTCGCAACGATCGACATTTAGTGATAAATCCTGAATTACACTTGTTGATTTCGATAATTAATTCCAAGTTTAATTTAATAAAAAAAAAAGGATTTTAAAAAATTAAATTAACAATCCGGATTCACTATTAATTTGATTAATTAGTTTTATTTTGTTTTTAATCAATTAAAAAAATGAATTTGAATTTATATATTAGTTTTCTAGAATCAAGCTCAAAATTGGCTTGATTAAGCTTACGGCAAACTTTCATTGAATTAATAACAGTTTTCAACATTTGCCATTGCTAATAATTGATATAATAAATATACCATGGCTTATACAAAGAACTGGATAGACGCACATTTTTGTACCAATAAAATCAATGATGCACAAAAGGAGTCGTAAATATAATTGATATGGTTAAGACAGCAATTTAATTTGGTAGTTATTAAATTGCTGCGATTTAAAAAAAATAATATCTGTTAATCTGTCGCAACAACACAAAGTCTTACAAAATTAGAAGAAAGTATGGAAAGAAAGTTAAAATACATTAAACTTTCAACTTAAACGCGATTATCGTTTTCTATAAAGTATAGCAAATGTCTACGCTCGATACTTACTTCAATAACAACTTGACGAAAACATCAAGTTACTCAAGGAGGAAGATGAATTTGAATACAAAAATCTTCTCAAAACCTCAGTGATAGCTGCTAACACTCAACAGTTCCCTCGAATTACAAAGAACAGTCCGTTAGGGATCTGTACGAAATCCTGACAGTACATTAGCCCGACAGTCGAAATCCTGAAATGTCAACATCCCGAATTGTCATAATCCCGTCCCGAAATGAAAATCTCATAGTAATGAGAATAGAGATTCGTTAAGAAGTTGGGTAAAGTTGGTAAGCTTGTTATATAAGTATAATAGCACCTTTGACGATATTTTGACATGGAATACAAAGTGACATTCATGACACGATCAAAACTTAAACAATGCCGCGCCATAATCTAAATTTTTGTACAAAGAATAAACCAAATCGGGCAAGTGTTCAATAAAATTTCATCTTCTGATAAGGATTATGAAGTGTCAGGACAATTCAGGATTAAACAATACAGGATTTTGACATTTCGGGATTATGACAATTTGGATGTTGACATATCAGGATTTCGAGTGTTGGGATTTCATACCAAACCCGTTCGTTAACTTTGATACGTAATCATTTTTAAGCAAATGCCGTTGTTTTCATAAGTTTCAGTAATAATGACTTTAATTCGTAGATAATAAGACCCGGCCATTTCTTTACTGATTAAACAACCAAATAAAACATCAGCTAATAACGTATTACGTCTTGGTTCTTTAGTCAAGGAGATTAAAATGCAAAACTTGTAATCTCTTCAGTTGATTTTATGCGAAAATCTAGAAAATGGTTAAAGCTATATGAAAGGTAAATTTTCATATAAATTCATGATGATATTGAAAAATTAATTGATTAAATGTTGTCTTCAAAAAAAAAAATAGGATTGGACAGGAAGCTATGATATTCTTATTAACAAATTTTCTATATTTCTTGAAATGAAAATTTGACGTTATTGTCACCTCCTAAATTCGTAAAGAGGTGATTTATATTTATTAAGTATTTTTGAGAACACAATGTATTATAACGAATATGTATGCAAATCAAATGCGAAAGAATTTTAAATAAAGTTTTATTGAATTAAAAATAAAGAAAATAAATTTATTAGATAAATGTGAAGTAAATACAATAAATGCAACTATTACTGCCTCTGCCGGTGCTCTGTAATAGGCCCAAAGAGAAAAGAAAACTATCTAATTCTAATCTAAAAGCAAGACGAAAAAACCCTTCTTTTTATAATAATTCTTTTCCCATGGCTTAGTTATAGAATTCTTGGCAGGATTACTAATTATTGCGGTTTGACTGACGAAAATGCCTATTGATCGTTTCATTATGTTAAAAACGGTCATTTTGACATATATAATCCATCATGTCGAGGTGTCCTAAATTATCGAAAAGTCCGAAAACTCAATTCCAACTGATATGTCAGAATTGTTGGCAAATTGATCGTCAGGACTGCGGAAATCCAATTTAGGCGCAGTCAATTTCCGTTCCGAGAGTGACATTTGTTCAATAGCTAGCTTTAAGTTAGTTGCCAATACCACAATGCATCCCGTCTTCCATATTATTTGAGAAAAAAGTTTCTCAGGTAATGTCATTGCATAATACGTTTTCATAAATAAATGCATCTTAATCACAATGAATATGCAAAATATTGAAGCGTTGTCATGTTTTTTGATTACTTCTAATACTATGGTATTAACATTCAGACAGGTCAAGTTCTTAACCCACAATCGAGTCCTTCACAGAATTAAGTTGCATTATTTCAAAGTTCTGGCGTAATTGGATCGAAAAATGTCAGCCAAAATAATTTTCTCGGTCGATCACATAAGAGCAAAGACATGACATATAGAACATATTTCAAATAAAGAAATTAAAAAAAAAAAATACAAATGAAACTGGACTGGAGGTAACAAATCAATCCCATTCAAACTAAAAACTATAAAAAAAACATATTAAATGACACCAAAAACTCGAAGAACTTTTCTAAAATTTTGGAAGCGAAAATTCTGATAAAGAGACTAGAAAAGAAGATTTGAGATCAAAACATGTTAGATCTAACAATGAGTCTACCGTGTTTGATAAAATCCCGAGTTTCCAAGAAAATGTTCAATTGAGAACTTTCTCGAATGAAATATTATCTTCCAAAGCCATCATTTTGAATAACCATAATGTGGTAAAACGAAACAAATGCGGGCAAATCAGTACAAATTTCAACAGTAATTATCAGTAATGGTTTCATATATATAGCGTTACACTTTTGGTTGACACGAAGAATTGTGATAACTATAACTATATTTGGTGCTATCATATTTAAATAATTTAAAGTTGTGGCATTGCAAAGATTAATTTCAGGACTAATTTAATCTTGAAAAAAACTATATTCGTTAATCTTATAAATTAAATATTTAATGGGTTGATAGATTACAAAGTTTGTTGCTTCAGCAATGGATTTTACCGTTCAACCAGAATTATGTTATGACAAAAATAATAAAGTATTAATTTCTAAAATGGTCAAAGCCTATATTGAACGCTGTCGGTTCGAATTATTACCGATGCATGACGAGGTTCTTCATGATTTTAAGGTGCGTCCCATATTTTATTTTGTATATAAGAATAAAAATTTAGATTCAAATTAGAAACCTATATGTTCTCAGAAATGTGAATGGCTTGTGCCACCTGATAGTTAAAATCTTGCAATAGAGAAGAATCTTTAAAATGAATTGAGATCTTGCATGAATTTATCTGGTGGATTTTTAAATGTTTTATTATTCTGCTTTTTTAAGTTAAATGAAATAATTTTCTAGAAAATTATTTTCTGCAATATGTTGACAATTTCTCCATATAATTTTTCATAGTTAAATTTCACATAGCGCAAAATGTAACGCATAAACAATGGAACAGTTGTTCTACTATTGACAAGAAGTATGGTCAGAAATGTCTAAAGGAGTTTTGAATCCTAGACAAACTCTGTATTGAAGAAATTCCATCAGAGAAAGTATCTGAAATATTAGAAAGCAAGAATGGGTTATTCCATTAGATGATAAAGGAAACCTATCGCTAATACGAGAAGTTCAATGAGTAAAATAGTATTTCATTTTCATTTCCTTAATTTTAATTTTTCTTTAAGATTACATACTTAATATTGTGTTTAATTTAAGGCGTCCACTCATAAAGGTATGAAGAAGTCACCATCAATCAATACCATGTTAAACACGATTATCAAATTTTGAAATATGAAATGGTGAGAAATATTAAGCTTTATTTTAAGTTTGTTTTACTGTAAAATAATAAATATGTTGTTTACCTTTACTTTTTGGAAAAATAACTGGCAGGATCTGTATTTATCAACGCAAAGCATAATAACGATATTATCGTGTGATTTTATGATGATGTTGACATTATGTCATAAGGAAAGTTTATTTATACAATTTTTTTTTTAAATTACCATTCTCTTTTACCAGATACTTTTATTTAATTTACATTCTTTTCTTTTCGTTTCTACCAGATATTTTTTTTAAAAAAAAATGGAACCACCTTTTAAGAAACTGCGAAAAATGGTAAAATTTTTTGTTTTCATTTTTTATAAGCTTAATAATAATAACCTCTATTTTTAGGCGAGTTTTACTTATGAAAAACCTACAAAAGAGGACCTTAACAAGCTTATTAATAAT